GTCCAGGCCCTCCGCCTTATGTCTTCTCCTCTCCGCCAGGTCCTGGGGAGTCAGAGAAGGTGCAGCAGCTGGAGGAGCAGGTCCAGAGCCTGACAAAGGAGCTGCAGGGCCTCCGAGGTGTCCTGCAGGGGCTGAGCGGGCGCCTGGTGGAGGACGTCCAGAAGGCCGTGGAGACGGCCTTTAACGGCAGGCAGCAGCCGGCAGACGCAGCTGCCCGCCCCGGCGTGCACGAAACCCTCAGCGAGATCCAGCAGCAGCTGCAGCACCTGGACAAGCGTGTCTCCACCCACGACCAGGAGCTGGGCCGGCTCAACAGCCATCACGGTGGTGGTGGTGGAGGTGGAGGTGGTGGCAGAGCCCTGACCCCGGCCCCAGCCGCTCCGGGCCCCAGCGAGGAGCAGCTGCGGGAGCTGGAGCGCCGGCTGCAGGAGTCCTGCTCCGTGTGCCTGGCCGGGCTCGACGGCTTCCGCCGGCAGCAGCAGGAGGACCGGGAGCGGCTGCGAAGTCTGGAGAAGCTGCTGGAGGGGCGGCAGCGGCAGCTGGCCGGGCAGGGCCGCAGGCCCCCGCAGGAATGCTGCCCGCCCGAGCTGGGCCGGCGGCTGGCGGAGCTGGAGCGGAGGCTGGAGGTTGTGGCCGGTTCGGTGACCGTGCTGAGCGGGCGGAGGGGCGCCGAGCTGGGAGGTGCCGCCGGGCAGGGGGGCCACCCCCCAGGCTACACCAGCCTCGCATCCCGCCTCTCCCGCCTGGAAGACCGGTTCAACTCCACCCTGGGTCCCTCGCAGGAGCAGGAGGAGGGCCGGCCTGGACGCCCTGGGGGACTGAGCCACTGGCTGCCTGCTGCCCGGGGCCGGATAGAGCGGCTGGAGGGGCTGCTGGCCAACGTGAGCAAGGAGGTGGGCGGGCGGCTGGACCTGCTGGAGGAGCAGGTGGCAGGGGCCGTGCAGGCGTGTGGGCAGCTCTGCTCTGGGGCCCTGGGGGAGAAGGACTCCCAGGTCAGCGAGACCCTCAGTGCCTTGGAGCGCCGGGTGCTGGACGGCGAGGGGCAGCTGCGGCTGGTCATCTCCGGCCTGCACAAGGTGGGAGCGGCCGGGGAGGCGCGGCAGGCCACGCTGGAAGGGTTGCAAGGGGTCGTGGGCCAGCTCCGGGGTCGCGTGGACGCTCAGGATGAGACAGCGGCGGAGCTCACCCTCCAGCTGAACCTCACGGCCGCGCGGCTGGGCCAGCTCGAGGGCCTGCTGCAGGCCCGCGGGGACGAGGGCTGTGGGGCCTGCGGCGGGGTCCAGGAGGAGCTGGGCCGCCTCCGGGATGGGGTGGAGCGCTGCTCCTGCCCCCTGCTGCCCCCGCGGGCAGGCCCCGGGGCGGGCCCGGGTGTCGGGGGGCCGAGCCGTGGGCTTCTGGATGGCTTCAGCGTGTTTGGGGGCAGCTCGGGCTCAGCCCTGCAGGCCCTGCAGGGAGAGCTTTCCGAAGTCATCCTCACCGTCAGCTCCTTCAACGACTCCCTGCACGAGCTCCAGGCCACGGTGGAGGGCCAGGGTGCCGACCTGGCCGACCTGGGGGCCACCAAGGACCGCATCATCTCCGAGATCAACAGGCTGCAGCAGGAGGCCACGGAGCACGCCATGGAGAGCGAGGAGCGCTTCCGAGGCCTGGAGGAGGGGCAGGCACAGGCCGGCCAGTGCCCCAGCCTCGAGGGGCGGCTGGGCCGGCTGGAGGGCGTCTGTGAGCGGCTGGACACGGTGGCCGGGGGGCTGCAGGGCCTACGCGAGGGCCTTTCCAGACATGTGGCTGGGCTCTGGGCCGGGCTACGGGAGACCAACAGCACCAGCCAGACCCAGGCCGCCCTGCTGGAGAAACTGCTGGCGGGGCAGGCGGGCCTGGGCAGGCGGCTCGGGGCCCTGAACAGCTCGCTGCTGCTCCTGGAGGACCGGCTCCACCAGCTCGGCCTGAGGGACCTCACCGGTGAGGGGGCAAGAGGAGGCCCGGGGTGTGGAGGGGACCCCTTTCCAGCTCTTTCTCCCTCCCTCCCAACAGCCCAGCCTTAACCCCCTCTACGTTTTCTGTGCTCTGCTTAGCAGCATGAATTGCAGACCCACCCCTGTCCCAGGGGCTGATTTATCCACAACGATGATCCCAGGCCCCCACTCCCCGCCTCCCCCTGGCGGCTCAGACGGGGCAGTGGCTGTGGGCGGGGGCGGGGTGCTGCTCTGCCAGCCAGGCATCCAGCATGGGCAGCGAGGGGTCCCATCACCCTGTCCGTGGGACCATCACCCGCTTTGTCTTTTGGAAATGCCTTTTGTGGCTCTCCCACAACGCGCTTCTGTCGCTGCAGGGCCTGCGGGCGAAGCTGGGCCCCCAGGGCCTCCGGGAGCACAGGGCCCCCCGGGCCCCGCCGGGCCTCCAGGACCTCCGGGCAAGGATGGACTAGAGGGGCCCATCGGGCCGCCAGGTATGTGGGCTGAGATCCTTGGGCACAGGGTCGCCACCCCCCTGGGCAGCCCCAGGCTTGCCGTGCCCCTTTGAGCTGGCGGGGAGTGGGGAAAGGGCTGAGGAATGGGGTCCCAGGTGGCTGACGGAGACGAGGAAAGTGACCAGGACCTGGGATAGGCCCGGTGCTGGCTGACGGGGTGTGGTGGCTCACTGCTGAGCTGAAGACCGAGGCTGAGCCTCCCAGGGCTGAGGTGGGTGTGAAGGGCTAAGGGATAGACAGCACGGACTTATTCCTCCTTTCCGTGGTGCCCACATCCCTGCTGGGAAGTCTGTATGGCACCCAGCACAGCCAGACAGACTCAGCAGATGTTTGCTGAAGACTTAGAGCCTCTCTCTCTCTCTCTCTCTCTCTCTCCTTCTCCCTCTTTCCCTCTCCCTCTCCCTCTCCCCCCACCCTCCTTTCTCCTCCTCCTCTCACAGGTCCCCAAGGTGAACAAGGTAAGTTCTCCTTTGAGGCTGGAGGGAGGGGTTGGAGGATTGGGGTAAAGGCTCCAGAGGGGAAGGACTCTGACACACATCCTCTGACACACATCCCCCCCTCAGGAGAGGAGGGGGCACCAGCAGCCCCCGTGCCCCGGGTGGCCTTTTCAGCCGCCCTGAGCTTGCCCAGGTCTGAGCCAGGCACAGTGCCCTTCGACAGAGTCCTGGTCAACGATGGGGACTTCTATGATCCAGTAACCGGTAAGCGGGGTTGGGGGCTGGCTGGGCCGGGGGAGGAGTGGAGAGGGAGAGGTGAGGCAGTGGTACCCTCATCCCCCCACTTTAGACAAGGGGGCTCTCTCCCTGCTCCTGTCGGGGAGGGTCCTAGTCTTCCCTTCATCTGTCCGTTCTCACCACAGCTTGGGCCGGCTGCTGGGGTGGGGAGGGGGGGCAGCTCATGCCAGGCTCTGTTTTGAGCAAAACACCAGATCTGCCCTGGAGCTTGTGGGGAGGAGGGAGCGGTGAAAAGACCCAGCAGGCCCCTCCCGAGCCCAGGAGCTCTGAGTCCGAAGCCTGGGGGCCCCGGCCCCCTGCCCCCTGCCCGCTCCTGACTGACTGCCACCTGGTCCGCAGGCGTGTTCACGGCGCCGCTGGCCGGGCGCTACTTGCTGAGCGCCGTGCTGACCGGGCACCGGCACGAGAAAGTGGAGGCCGTCCTGTCCCGCTCCAACCAGGGCGTGGCGCGCATCGACTCAGGTGGCTACGAGCCCGAGGGCCTGGAGAACAAGCCGGTGGCCGAGAGCCAGCCCAGCCCCGGCGCCCTGGGCGTCTTCAGCCTCATCCTGCCGCTGCAGGCGGGCGACACGGTCTGCATCGACCTGGTCATGGGGCAGCTGGCGCACTCGGAGGAGCCGCTCACCATGTTCAGCGGAGCCCTGCTCTACGGGGACCTGGACCTGGACCCGGACCTGGACCTGGGGCAGGCGTAGGCAGGGGGCCCGACCGACCGACCGGCCAACCGGCCTGAAGAGTCTGTGCCGCCAAAGAGCCATGGGGGCGGGTTGGGGGGGGGCACTCCAGCCCCGGGTGCATCGCAGCCTCCAGACCCGACGACGCCACGGCAGAGGTGCGGCAGAGGTGCCCCGAGCATCCTCCTCCCTGCAAGCGGAGCGCGTCAGGTGGGGGCTCCGGGGTCCCCTCGTGCAGACGTTGAGCCCGATCGCTGTCCCCCGCAGGCCCCGGACTGCGGAGGAGCGAGTCCTGGGCCCTAGAAGCTCCCCCAGCCGCTTCTAGGCCGATTCCCCGGGTGCCAGGGCTCTGCTGAGGCGCTCCGCCAATCACCGCCATACTAAACTATTCAGGAATAAAGACACTTGGTTTTTATAAAAAAAATAGAACAAAACGAAAAAAACACACCATCTGCTTCAGTCTGTTCGGGGGTGGATGGGAGCACACGATGGACGCGCGGGCTGTGGCCGCGCCTGCGGCTCAGCGCCCCATCAGGACCCTCTTCCCGGCCTCGCCCGTCCCGCCGGTGTCCGCCAGGGGGCGCTGAGCGCCGCTCCTCATCACGTGACCGGCGCCGCGCACCTGGCGGCCCCCGGGCGGAGGCGGGGCTCCGGGTGCAGCGCCGCTTCGGCTTAGCTTAGCGGGACCCGGGCCGCAGCGGCAGCGGCTGGTGCAGGAGCGGGCGGGGCAGGGCCCCTGTTCCTGAGCTCGCCTGCCTAACCGTGCGTTAGAGAGGTTGCACCAGCCCCGCGTCCGGCTGCAAATGGAGGAACTGAGGCCGAGACGTGGGAGGCGTTGCCACTTGCAGGGCCTCGCAGGCTGCTAAGGCGAGGCCGGGACCCCGACCTCAGAGTCTGCGCTCCCGGGACCGCTGGGGCCGGTGGGCGTGGGAGCAAGGGCCCCAGGGCGCTCTTTGCACGACGCTGCACGCCCGCCGCCGCGGGAGGCTCCTGGAGGCGGAGCCGGCCGCGGGGAGGAGGAGCCCGGGCCCCTCGGGGAGCCGGGACACGATCCTGCGGCATAAAACCCCGAGCCAGGGACGAAGCCCGGCACCCCGGCGGGCGGCGAGCTGCGGGAGCGGCCTCATGGGCGAGAAGCGGATCCTGTGCGTGGGGCTGGTGGTGCTGGACATCATCAACGTGGTGGACAAGTACCCGGAGGAGGACACGGACACCAGGTAGCGGCGCTCGGGCCCCTCACAGACCCCCGGGGGCGCCGGAGGCCAGGACTGCGGGGCTGGGCTGTGCGAGTCCAGCCTCCGGAGCGGTGCTCCGCGCCCCCTGTCCGGGGAAGAACCGAGCCCCTCGGTGCTAAGACGCTGGCTTCAGAGAGCAGTGTGCTCCCAACTCCCAGGTCAACCCTGGGACTGACAGGCATGGTTACCCCCATTTCACCCGCAAGCAAGTAGAGACTCTGAGAGAGGAAGTGATTTGTACAAGGGCACGCAGCTGGTCCGGTGCAGGGCCAGTATTTTTTTATTATTATTATTTTAACAACAATATCTGTGTCCTTGCCTCTCATTAGCATTTACCTCTCTCTCTCTTCTCTCTCTCTCTCTCTCTTTTTGCACACAACAGCATTTACTTCTTAAAAAATTTTTTTATTAAGGTATTACATGTGTCATTGCCTCCCATTGCCCCCTTTTACTTCTAATTTATTTACTTCTAATTTATTTACCACATTTAAATCTCATCTATTTCTTTTTTTTAAAAAATATATTTTTACTGATTTTTTTTTTTACAGAGAGGAAGGGAGAGGGATAGAGAGCTAGAAACATCGATCAGCTGCCTCCTGCACACCCCCCACTGGGGATGTGCCCGCAACCAAGGTACATGCCCTTCACCGGAATCGAACCCAGGACCTTGCAGTCCCCAAGCCGACGCTCTATCCATCGAGCCAAACCAGTTTCGGCTATCATCTATTTCTTTAAAGCAGTTGAGGGAGCTTACGATACGTGTGGAGAGTGAGACTGGTCGGGAACACACAGTATCTGAGCTTCCCTGGAGCTCAGGGCTGGCTGGTGCTGTGGGATGGGCTTGGTTCCTGTGCCGGGACAGACTCTTCCCCGGCGGCACATTCCCAAGGCCGTGGGAAACACCCTCCTGGCGGCTCTGGTGAAGTCCAAGAGTCATTTGTGGGCTCTTCTATTTACTCCTGATAAGCAGGACACCGTTACCCTGAAACCCCGGGGAGCACTCCGCGGCGGGACCCCGGCTTTCTCCTGGGCAGCCCAGTGCGTGGGGCTCGGGGGAGAACCGCTCCTGAGCTGTCAGGGGTCTCACCACCGGTCACCCACTGGATAAAAGGCCAAGGCTGAGCCCAGCAAGACAGGCGGGTCTGGGAGCCAGGGGGCTAATGGAGCCGAGGGGCAGGGCGTGCCTCAGGCTGTGGGCCGTCCTGCGCTGTGGGACCGCAGCAGCCAGGCAAGTGTGGAAGACCAGCCAGAGCCCGTCTCTGTAGGTGTGGGGGCATTAGATGGTTTCTGTGAGGCTGAGTGCTTACTGAGTGGCAGTCCCAAGCCTCCTGACTCCGAGTCGAGGGGCTGCTAGTGTCCCAGCCCCTCGTTCAGCACAGTCCTCCCCTCCCCTCTACCCCCCTCGTCCCCCTCAGCCCCTGCCCCAGCACAGCCCTTTCTGAGCTCCATCCCACTGGAGCTGGCCCTTTGCTTTGGCTGCTGTTTGCCAGGGGAGCAGGGGCCGTGGGGGAGAGGCACAGCGTGTGCCTGCCCCCCCAGGTGGCTAGGAGGAGACCTGCCCCCGGACTGGGGCTGGTTCCGGAGGCAGGAATGGAGCAGTGAGGGCCTCTCTGAAGACCTTTCCGGTGCTCTCCAAGCCCCCTGCTCTGGAGGGTGTACCTCCCTCCCCCTCACACCCTTGGCTCTGCCGCCCCGCAGAGCAGTGTGGCTGTGCTCAGGGCCTCTCTCTGGTGCTCCCATCCCACCCGCCCAGCTCTTCCACTCTGTGGTGCCTCCCCGTGAGCAAGCCTGAGCGGGACCAGTCCTTCCCGCCTGTCCAGACTCTCCGTGCCCCACGGGCAGTCTGGTCCTTTCTGAACATGAGGGTGGGCATCGGTGTGACCTTGAAGGGTGTCCACAGAGCAAAACGGTATCATCTGTCTTCCTCCGAAAACTCCAAGGCGGGGCCTAACTGCTCTTCATTAAAAAGCACGGAGCGCATTGCCGAGGTTTGGGAGTCAGGAGTAACTGTGTGTGATTTGAAGCAAGTCGGATTCCCCTCGGCTCCTCTCTTCTCTGCTTGCAAATTTCTCTAAAGGTCACAGCTGCCCTAGCCAGTCTGGCTCAGTGGATAGAGCGTCGGCCTGCAGACTGAAGGGTCCCAGGTTCAATTCCAATCAAAGGCATGTACCTTGGTTGTGGGCACATCCCGGGGCAGGAATGTGCAGGAGGCAGCTGATGGATGTTTCTCTCTCATCGATGTTTCTAACTCTCTATCCCTCTCCTTTCCTCTCTGTAAAAAAGTCAATATATTAAAAAAAATAAATAAATACCCTTTACCCCTTCCTAATATGACTTTCCCAAGGCTGAAGGGAAGTTCGGGGCGAAGTTTTGGGTACAGATACACCTTTGTCTGCAAATTCTGCTGCCTTCGTTTCCCTTTGCTAGTGATTCTTTGGTTCTTGGCTCACAGTTATTTTATTTTTTTATTTTTTATTAAAGTGTTATATGTGTACATATCTTATTGACTCACAGTTATTATTATTCTTTGGGAACTGGGAGAATAGGAACCGCAGCCTGCGCCGCTTACCTCACGGTGTTATTGGCGCACAAATGAAAAGTCATTAAAGCTTCTTTACTGTTATGCATGCTCTCCTTTTTGTTCTCGGTGACGACAGTGAAGTTACACGGGTGTATTTTGAGTGAGTTTCCTCTTGTTAGACTTTCAGTAAAGATGGAGAAAAAAATAAAGGACAAAAATGTAACTGCGTGAGGTGATGAATGTGTCAACTAACCTTATTTGCGGTCATCATTTCACAGTGTGTGTGTACATCAAATCACATTGGGCTTCTTAAACTTACATGTTAAATGTCAGTTACATTTCAGTAACGCTGGAAAAAGGAAAACAAAACAAAATAATGGAGGAACAACTCGTCTGTACCCAATAATCTTTTAACTTTTGACATCGTAACAGTTAGCTCTCCTCCTCTTATAGGATCACAATGTTCAGGTTTGCTTCCTGTCTTGGTTTAACCCGAGTTATTATTGAAGCAGCTCTACTAACACAGGAGCAGGTAGTAAACGTAACACCTTTGGGAAGTGGCACTTGGAGTTATCCAGTTCTTAAGGGGAGGCGTAAGGTATAGCAGCTGTACCCGGGCGTTATAATTGGGGAGGAGCTAACCCAGAGGGAGTGGAACCCTCAAATTGTAATGGACCTGAGTGAGTGGTTTCCTGGTGTCCTAAGAATAGGTGGAAGATAGAAGTTAATTGCCCTGACCAGGGATCGAACCCGCAGCTGAGGTGCATGGAGATGATACTCAGAGCTCCCCGCCTGGCGCCTGGCCTGGATGCTCTCTGAGGGAGTTCTAGCTATTTCATTCCGAGAGCCCTCCCCAGGGCACTGTGGTCAGCCCGGTCACCCCGGATGAGGCTGCTGAGGCTGCAGGGACCCTCCTTGTGTTTTGCAGGTGCTTGTCCCAGAGATGGCAGCGTGGAGGCAATGCGTCCAACTCCTGCACCGTGCTGTCCCTGCTCGGAGCCCCCTGTGCCTTCATGGGCTCACTGGCCCCGGGCCACGTTGCTGAGTGAGTGGAGGAGGGCGCAGGGGAGGCCTGCCCGCAGAGGGAAAGGGATACGCAGTCCTGACCCTGGACGGGTGGGCTGTCAGGAATGGTTTGTGGCCACCGGCAATGGGCGGGAGGGCCCGGAGCCTCCCCGGTGTGGCTGATCTGCTGCTCAGATGGTGACGCTGCTCCTGTGAAGGGTTTCCTTCCCGCAGCCTGGTTCCCGGCCGGGCGCCGGGGTCTGCTTCCGCCTGCCCACCTCCTGCTTCCTTGCTTCCCACAGGCTGCGGCGATGTGACATTGCCCTTCTAAGATCCCTTTCCCTGGCTGATCCCCTTCTCAGATCCCTTTCCCTGGCTGTGCGTGAGGCAGAAGGCAGCTAGGAACCTGTGGTACCCCTCCTCCCTCAGGGCTGTCCATCACCCGTGGTCCAAGGGTCCAGGCGTACGGTTTCTCTCACCAGTGCTCACGTCCCCATTGCTCTCTGAAGCAGCAGGAGCACCCTGTGCCAGGGTATCCTGAAACCACGTGTCAGAGCCGGCCGGGACCCACGCCTCCCGGCTCCCGGGCTGTGCGGCTGCCATCCACGCGCGCTCTGTGCTGGCTGCTGCCGGGACCCAGAGCCCTTCGACCCCTGGCACTGCCGACTCAGCAGGCGTTTATCAGGAGGCGAGGCCCACACTTTGCCCACTGCGGGCACGGGGCAGGCTCCGGGCTGCTGGCCTGTGAAGCCATGCTCTTTGAACCCTGGTTTAGGGGGACCTGCTGCAGGCGCCCAGCCCCCCGAGCCACAGCCGGATTCCTTGGTGAACTGGCGCAAAGCGAATTGGGGCGAGAGCCTGCCCTGTGAGGTGGGACAGAGGGGCCCGGAGCCAACAGCGGGTCACTGATTAACCCTCCTCAACAGCTGCCTCCCCCTCCCCCTGCCCCACCCCCACCCCGGTTAGAGGCAAGACCGGCTCTCTTTTTTTCTTTTCTTTTTAAAAAAAATATATTTTATTGATATTTTTACAGAGAGGAAGAAAGAAGGATAGAGAGTTAGAAACATCCATGAGAGAGAATCATCGATCAGCTGCCTCCTGCACACCCCCCACTGGAGATGTGCCCACAATCAAGGTACATGCCCTTGACCGGAATCGAACCCGGGACCTTTCAGTCCACAGGCCAACAACGCTCTATCCACTGAGCCACACCGGTTTTGGCAGGACCGGCTCTTGCTTAGAGTCGTGGGCCCACCTCTGTGTAGCAATCGCGCTGATGGCAGGCCATTCCCATTCTCTCCGTGTGTCCCACAAACACGGAGTGAGCACCGACCACGTGCCAGGCACTGGGTGCAGAAAGGGATTTGGCAAACCAGACCATGTTTTTTTCTGCCGTGGAAAGGCCCCTGGGGTCTGGGACAAGGACCCGTGTCCTGACCTGCTGTGTGAGTTCCCCGGCCTGGAGCCGGCTCCCGCTCCTGGCGGCCCCGTGAATGAGTGGTGTCCACCGCGTCCCGTCCTCACCCGCCCTGCCCGGCCCCTGCGGCTTCTCCTAGGGAGCCCGCCCACCTCCGATGTTCTCTTCCTCTCGTCCCGCTGCCTTCGCTCTCGCCCAGCATTCCTGTCTTTTCACCTTTCCACACGCCTGTCCTGGCCGGCTCGGCGTGGCCAGAAATGGGGCCCAGCCTCAGGGAGAAAGGTCAGGACGAGGGCCGGGCGACTGGCCTACGTGCCAGCTCCTGGGCACAGCCCTGCATTTTCAGAGAGGGACAGGGCGGTGCAGCCCCCTGAGGGCTGCCCCCGACTCCCTCTGGTTGGAGGGGATTCTGGGAAAGAGTCCTGACCCAGGCCCAGGGGAAGGCCATCGACACTGGGAGCTCTCACGGCCCCTGAGGATTGGCTTCGCTGCAAGAGGAGAGGCCGTGAGCGGCTCCCCCAGGCCCGCTTCCTGGCCGGGCCTGGAGGCCGGTGTCGAATGCCAGGCCTCCTGTGGGCCTGGAAGGGACTCCAGAGAGAAGAGAGCCCCGGGGACCTGTGCAGAGGGCGGCTGGGGGCAAAGTATCACCTTGGCAATGATTAATGCCGCCTGGGCTCTGCACGGAGCAGCCACGGCGCCCGCACCTGCTTGCTGCACACAGGGCAGTGCTGCAGGCCCCAAGGACTCCCCGAGGGATGCATGCAGATCCTTTCCAGCTTGAGTCAGGACCCAAAAGAATGTCCCTTGGTGTGTTTCTGAGCTCCAGCCCGTGCACTCCTGCCTCTCCCGCCTCCTTGCACAGCCCGACAGACAGACAGACAGACAGACAGCCGGCGATTTCTAGCTTCCTCCTGGCCCCCTCCGCTTGCACCCTGGGCCCCTTCGGCCCTGCCCGCGGCCTCCCGGCCCCCAAACCTTGTCAACTGCGCCTCCCCCGGGTTCCTCCGCCGGCAGTTTTGTCCTGGATGACCTCCGCCGCTATTCCGTGGACCTTCGCCACACGGTCTTTCAGACCACGGGCTCCGTCCCCATCTCCACGGTCATCGTTAACCAGAGCAGCGGCAGCCGCACCATCCTCCACGCCCACAGGTTCGTGCACCGTCTGCGCCTCGCCAGCTGCCGCCACCATGGCTCACCTCGCAGAGCAGGGCCTTCTCTTGTAGGAGGGGCACCCGGCCCACACGGGCTCCGGCACCTCCCCGCCCCCCGGGGAAGGTCCAGGCCACTTGTAGGTTCTAACTGGTGTCTCCTTGCCCTCCCCGTGGCCCGGGCTCCATCCCAAGTTTCCTGGTGGCTGACTTCAGGCAGCGGGGTGTGGACGTGTCCCAGGTGGCCTGGCAGAGCCGGGGAGAGACCCCGTGCTCTTGCTGCATCGTCAACAACTCCAATGGCTCCCGCACCATTGTGCTCTATGACACGTAAGGCCCCTGGGCCGCGCCCTGCCTGCCACACCCACCAATCAGCTCCCTCCCTTGCTGCCTGCCGTGGGCATCCTGACGGCCCACCCTCTGAGGCCTCTCTCTTCGCACCAGAAATTGTCCCCGTGCCGAGCGGCTCAGTGATTCCCGAATTGTCCTCAATGAGGGGAGAAGTGAGGTGGGAAGGGGTGGGCTTTGTGCTCTGCTTGGCAGCCCGGCCTTGGTCAGCACTGAGGATGGGCAGGCAGAATGCACACGATGTAATTGGTGATGTGATTCCCCCATGATTAGCCAATCAGCAGCCCGGGTTTGGGAGTCGGGAAATTTGATGGGACGAGAGATGATTCAAACCATCTTAAGCCCTCGCGGGGAAGGGGATCTGGGGGGGTTGCCAGGGTCAGCCGCAGAGTTGCTGGCCTGCAGCCTGGCACCGAGGAGCTGGGGTTTGGGTGTTCATAAAAGATGAGGCCCTGCAGAGGTCCCAGCCTAGTGAAGCCACTCCACTCGCAGCTACTGGTGAGGGGAGCATTGGCCCAGCAGATCATTGGGTCACTGGGTTTGCTAAAAACGGTGAAGAATCCCAGCGGTTTGGTTTCCTGGGCGCACAGTATGTGCCAGGGGCCATGTCAGGGCTGAGATGGCCTAAGCTCAGCCGCCCTGGGGTCAGGCCCTCCCTACTGCCCAGCAGGACCGCTGCATCTAGAGAGCGACAGGCATCCTCGGACTCTGAGTGTCCCAGGGAGTGAGTGAGTGAGGGGGTGGGCAACATTCACATGGGGCAATCCCAGTCATCTGCCCGTTAAGCACCAACCTGTAGCAACTCTCATCAAGGCCACAACCTGGGTATTCCCAGGAAGGGAGGCAGAGAGCTCTGAGGAGAAATGGTTGTTGCCTGCTGGCCTCAGGCCAGGCGTAGCCACATTTCCTATTACCTGCAACCAACTGCCGCAGGCCTGTGAGGCTGGGGGTTCCGGCCCCATTCACCGATGGGGAAGCAGCCTCACCCACAGCTGTCCACGTGGATGAAGGCTTCGGCTCCGGAGACAGAGAGGACAAGGCAGGCAGACCCTTGTGGGGCGTCCACAACTAAGTTAGTCAAATATAAACTCACCCTCAAGCACTAAGCCTAACCATGTGGTTGTGAGCTGGAGCTGCCAAACTCCAGGCTGTGGTGCTGTCGCTGCTGCGGTGCCAGAAGTGAGCTCCAAGCAGAGGAGCCATGGCCTTTGTAGTTTCCCAGGGCACTGCATGCTGGGAGCTATGTGTGTGTGTGTGTGTGTGGCTGACAAGGGGGGGGGGTTCTGGGAATTGTAGTCCTTGGTGCTTAGGGCATTCTGGGAGGTGTGGTCCCCAAGGCACACAGAACTGGTTCCTTGATACATGCTTGGGTTGAGTTTGCCCTTACACAATATCACAGCCCCCAACACAGGAAGGGGGCACCCTTAGCAGACTGCCTCCCTTCGTCTGTCTGGATGGAGCCAAGTGGGGCAAGGAGTGGTTGTGAGTTTAGCTTGGGACAGGGTCAGTCAGTGCCAGGCATAAGGACTCCAGCAGGCTGTTGGAGATCCTGGCCCTGGCCAGCCTCTCACCATGCCACGTCTTCTCTGTCCCTTCCATCCTGTGACGTAGGAATCTGCCAGATGTCTCTGCTGCGGACTTTGAGAAGGTTGATCTGACTCGGTTCAAGTGGATCCACATTGAGGCAAGCTCTGCCCTACCTGCGTTGTGAAGGGCTCCCCCTGCCACCCCTCCTCATGCTTTGCCTCCTTCTTGGTTTCTTCGAACCATGGAGTGCCTTCGAGATGAATAAATCCGACACTCCTCCCCTCCCAATCCCCTTTCCATCCTACTTTATGTTTTTAGGTAGAAAACTAAGGCCCACAAAGATTGGGTGACTTAAGACCACACAGTAGGGTGTAGGCATCAGAAGCTGGATGCTGGCCCCAGGCAAAGCCCCGTGTTCTCTGTGCTACAGGCAGCCCTCTTCCTCCACACCGGAGGCTCCCTCCCAAAGGAAGGGAACTAGAATCTTCACTGCAAGAGAGGCTTTGGAGTCTGGGTGGGAGGGAACCCTGAGAAGCCCCGAGTTCTCATCCTAGCCCTGTCAGTGCCTTATTGTAGGTCCTTAGGAAAGTCTCTTTTATCCTTTAGTCCCTTCATCTATGAAATGGAGGGACTGATTGATCAGGTCTCTAAGATCCGTGACAGCTCTGGGATTTTTATTTTTATTTTATTTTTAAAAATATATTTTATTGATTTTTTTATAGAGAGGAAGAGAGAGGGATAGAGAGTTAGAAACATCGATGAGAGAGAATCATCGATCCGCTGCCTCTTGCACACCCCCTCCTGGGGATGTGCCCGCAACCAAGGTACGTGCCCTTGACCGGAATCGAACCCGGGACCTTTCAGTTTGCAGGCCGACGTTCTATCCACTGAGCCAAACCGGCATCGGCAGCTCTGGGACTTTTAGATTGCGAGTGGAGGTTCCCAGGCTGCTCTGCTCCCTCGCCCAGAGTCTCAGCAGGAAGGGGGGCCCACGCCAGCGCGGCGCGGGGCACCCCCCTGCAGGTCCTGAGCTGCCCGCTCTGCTCCAGGGCCGGAACGCGGCGGAGCAGGTGAAGATGCTGCGACGGATTGAGCAGCACAACGCCAGGCAGCCCCCGGGGCAGCGGGTGCAGGTGTCCGTGGAGGTGGAGAAGACCCGAGAGGATCTGTTCCAGCTGTTCGGCTACGGAGACGTGGTGAGCGCGCCGGGCAGCGTCCTGCGCGTCCAGCTGACCCGGTCCTTAAAAGGAGCCCGAGAATGCTCCTGTCCTGCCTGCCGTGCCTGGAGCGGCCAGCTCCTCGTGGAGCCAGAGGCCGGTCCCCAGCTTTGGGCTCTGGTGCAGGCCTCGGCAGAGGCCAAGGAAAGTCTCTCTACCCCAGGGGGTGCGTGGGTAGGAGGGTAGCTAGATGGGCGTGGACAGAGCGTAGGCAGCCAGCCTCCGGGCACGCCTGTGAAAAACAAACCCGGCATCTCCTCCCCGGGCCTCCTCAGTCTTTCTCTCTGCTCAGTGAGGGGATGGGACTGTTCCCCAGGGGCCCTCAGCTCTGGGGTGGGGACAGGCTGTAGGAGCCACTCGTGGGTGAGGGAGGACGGGAAGGGGACTTGCACGCGGGGTTTGAGCAGGGTGGGCAGTGAATGGGATCGGGTTAACGATCTTAGCATCGTTGTGGGAGCTGGTTCGTCCTCAGCCTTGGCTGCGGGTTAAAAGACGTGGATGCCTGAGCCCCCACCCCTGTTGGTTATTTGATGGGTAAGGGTGGCGCTTGGGCTGACGTATTTTTTACCAAAACTGTCTCTGGCAATTTAAAATATATATATATATATATATATATATATATATATATATATATATATATATTTGATTTTTTAAAGAGAGGAAGGGAGAGGGATAGAGAGCTAGAAACATCGATGAGAGAGAAACATCGACCAGCTGCCTCCTGCACACCCCCTACTGGGGATATGCCCGTAGCCAGTGTACATGCCCTTGATCGGAATCGAACCTGGGACCTTTCAGTCCACAGACCGACACTCTACCACTGAGCCAAACCGGTTTCGGCTGTCTCTGGCAATTTTTTAAAAATATATTTTTATTGATTTGAGAGAGGAAGGAAAAGGGAGAGATATAGAAACATCAATGATGAGAAGGAATCCTTGATCGGCTGCCTCCTGCATGCCCCCTACTAGGGGACGGAGCCCGCACCTTAGACGTGTGCCCCTGACTGGAATTGAACCCGGGAACCCTTCAGTCCACAGGCCGATGCTCTATCCACCGAGCCACACCGGCCAGGGCGGCGATTCTAATGTGTGGTTCGTATGAGGCAACTTTTGAGGCCCTACCCCTTTGTTTTTAAGATGAAGAAACTGATCTAGAGGGCATAGTTGTATGAGGAAAAACAAACCCAAAACAAAACTTATGGTTTCACTTGGCAGTGGTAGATTTCACCCCAAGAGGGCGCTCCAGGCTCGCTTTGGGTTTCCAATTGGGAGGAAATTCATGGATCTTAGAACAAATAGACCAGGGTGTGTGTCCTGATCCACAGGCCGTATCCTGGTATATCTTGAGCAAGCAGGAAACCGTGTTCCTATGGGGCAGCAAAATGCTATTTTGGGGGTTGGGGTGGCCGTGTGGGAGGAGCGGGGTCCTCATGTGGGGGCTGTGCTAGGCTGCTGCTGCTGCTGGGAGTGACTGAGCTGGGACACCTGATCGCCTCCCACCGCCCACAGGTGTTTGTCAGCAAAGATGTGGCCAAACACCTGGGGTTCCAGTCATCGGTGGAGGCTCTGAGGGGCCTGTACAGCCGTGTGAGGAAAGGGTGAGCCGGGGACCCCGGGAGGGTGGGTGTGGGGAGTGGGTGAGCCGGGGACCCCGGGAGGGTGGGTGTGGGGAGTGCGTGAGCCGGGGACCCCGGGAGGGTGGGTGTGGGGAGTGGGTGAGCCGAGGACCCCGGGAGGGTGGGTGTGGGGAGTGGGTGAGCCGGGATGCGGGGTCGGCCCCGGGGAGAGGGGTCGAGGCTGGGGCCGGGGGTGGCTCCCGCCAGCTAAGCGGAGGCTCCGGCAGGGCCACGCTGGTGTGCGCCTGGGCCGAGAAGGGCGCGGACGCCCTGGGCCCCGACGGGCAGCTGCTCCACTCGGACGCCTTCCCGCCGCCCCGCGTGGTGGACACCCTGGGGGCCGGCGACACCTTCAACGCCGCCGTCATCTTCAGCCTGTCGCAGGGTGAGTCCCGCGACCGCAGGCGCGAGGCTGGGGCTGGGGCCGGGCCCTGCCTGCCCGGCCGGCCCGGCTGACCCAGCGGCTTGTCCCTCCCCCAGGACGGAGCATGCAGGAGGCGCTGAGGTTCGGCTGCCAGGTGGCCGGCAGGAAGTGCGGCCTGCAGGGCTTCGATGGCATCGTGTGAGGCCCGGGGGCAGCAGGCGTCCGCTCACGCCCCCGTGGGGGCCAGTATCACCGGCTGCTGCCCCTCCCCTCTGCCCAGCCCGGCATCGGGGCTGCCCCGCTCCTGGGCAGATGCTGGCCGTGGGAGGGCTCTGCCTGCACCGGGTCCTGCGTCTCACGCGGCAGAGCCACGGAGCAAATAAACCTGCTTCCCAGCGCCCGCGTCCGTCCGTCCGTCCGTCCGTCTGGCCGTCCTTGCCGTCTAAGCTGCTCTGGCTGGGGCTTCCCCGGTTCTCCCCATGCGCCTCCCCACCCACTTCCCCACCCACGCCCGAAGGAGGGCTGCTAGGCCAGGCAGCAGAAGTCTCCAGGCTTGCTGCCTTCGGTGCCCGGGTTCCGGGATCGGCAGTCACAGGAGCCTTCCTGGCTGCGGGGGACACTCAGCCGCCTGCCGCGGCCCAGGGAGCCTCCCAAACAGCCACAAACCACTGGAGAAGCTCCTCCGGGCCCCAGGCCGCCACGGGACTCCGGCTCCGTGGCCGGGAGTGGCTCCGCCCAGCCCATTGCTGTGCGGTTTGGAGGGGACTTTGCCTCCAGGAATAGCTCCCCGGTGACCGCCCTGCAGCCTGAGAGCCCCACCCAGGGAGCCGCCCTGCAGTTCGGGCGGTGTCTCGGCCACAAACGGGACCTGGGTGCCCGTGTCGCTGTGCCCGGGGGAGACCAGGGCTGAGGGCACGGGGGAAGGGGGGGCAGGGTGTGTGAGGCCACAGGCTGGCCTGGGTGGCTGGGTCACCTTGGGTCCATCACTGAGCTCCGTCTTCCTCCAGTTCCCTGTCTGTCAAGTGGAGCTTATTCTGTGTGGCCACAGAATTACCGTGAGGATAAAATCACACCATGTGAAACGCCCAGGATAATGCGGGTGTGTGCCAGGCTCTTGATAAGCAGTAGTTATTGTCAATATTATGGGGGAGGGGGGGCAGATACAGGGTGATGGGCAGGTCTGCCCTGAGCTGCAGGAGGGAGCTGGGTGTCTGAACACCAGGTGAGGGCGGCTCAGGAGTGTTGGGGCCCCAGGGGGACAGGGAGAGGCCGAGCGCTCGCACCCGCTGGGAGCGCTGGGAAAGCTGAATCCTCCCCCTCCAAGAGGCCTGTCCAGTCCTCCTACCCCCACCCCCTCGCTGAGGCCTGGCCCGGCTGGCCCAGAGGACAGATGGCCCAGGAGGGTGAGTTTGGTCAGTTCTTTATTGATGGTCCCGGCCCTAAAGCTGCCCCTCGACACAGGGTCTCCCTGAGCCACCCAGAAAGGCCTGCGCCTCCTGGGACTGGGAAGGGGCCAGAGGGGGCCCTCGTCCCACCCTTCTGAGCTCACGTTCCGGCTCTGAGACATCAGGGGCGCGCCCCTGCACCCTGGAGGTTTACATCTCGCTGTTCTCCAGCTGAATAGCATGGGCCTCAAACTCACTTGCGGGGGCCTTATACTCCAGCGTCTCCCCTGGGAGCCCCTGCGCTTTCCTCCCAGCATCCCTGGCCTCGGCCTGGGCCCCAGCCTCCCCTCCGGGGCCGGGGGCCTCTCCTCCGGCCTCCTGTCCAGGCTCCAAGGACTCCTTCCCGGCCTCCACCTGCCCCTCCTCCTCCCTGGGCCCCTCGGCTTCCCGTGCCTCTGGTCGGGACGGGCTCTTCGCTAGCGGGGGCTGCCTCCCCGGGTCCTGTGGCTCCGGGGGCCTGGGGGCCTCTCCGGGGAAGTTGATGAGCTCTGCCGGGGTCATGAGCCCGTCCCCATTCAGGTCCTGCGTCTCCAGCACCTCGTCCACCAGCAGGACCACCTGTGGGCGCACACGGCTGCCGTGGGGCCGACAGGGACCTGCCGTGTCTCCGGGACCCCTGGCTCCCACCCCTCCCCCCAACGCCCCTGTCCCATCCCTGCCATGCAGGCTCTGAGCATTCCTGGAGATTCACCGAAAAAGCCAAAATGAAAAGGACCAGAGCCCCGAGGAGCTGGGTCTCCTTTGCAGGACAAGGTTCCGCCCCACCTCCCAGCAGGGCTTACGGGGTTGGTGGTGGGAGAGTCAGCGGCTCCCGGGGCCAGAGCTGCTGTCAACATGGACATCAGCTCCAGGCCGTCCAGCTGTCCACTCTGGTCATAGTCATGGAGGGCAAAGAGGTAGAGCAGGACTGGGGGGGAGAGGCTGGATCAGAGACGCATCAGAGGACAGGAGGAAGCAGGAGGCATCGGGGCGGCCCGAGGTCAGTCCCGCTCTGGCTGCCCTGAGCCTCCGTCCACGCCCCCCCCTCCCAACCCGGCCCAGCCCCTCACCCTGCTCCCGGCTCATGTGCTCCGGCTCCTCTTCCATCCTCTCTAGTCCCTTTAGGTAGCTCTGCAGAAGTCTGCCAGGAAAGCGGACAGTCAGCCCCTGAGAGGCCAGCCTGCACCCCACGCCTCACCCTCGAGGTTTACATCTCCGTGACTCACCGCAGCTGCTCCTGGCCTGGCTGGAAGGGGTTGAGGAGGGGCTGCTGCTGCACTTCAGGGACCAGCCTGGAGGAGGGAGGGAGGACCAGCCTTGCAAAGAGCCTCCTTGAGGGCCCAGCCTCCCAGCCTCCCACCCCCAAGCAGAGTTCTCACGCCAGACCCAGAGGGAGTTGCTTTCCCCAATTCCCCAAACCTTGTGGGGGGAGATTCCTACCTCGGATGGCCAGTGAAAACCCTTAAAACCTCTGGTCAGGTGGAGGCCAGGCGAGGCCACAGCTCGTCCAGACAAGGTGGAGACCCAGGCAAACAGCGCATTCGGGGTAGGGCAGTGCAGGTTGGGGAATGGGCCAACGGGCAGTCTCTGGCTGAGCTCAGAGGCCTGCTCACCTGATACAGGCCCTGTTTACCCCAGGACGCACACGGGCCCTTTATTGCCCCCAGCTGAGGCCACGTATGCTGGTGTAGGAGTTTAAAGCTGGTTGGGGTCTCTGCCAGTCCTGTTTGTTTGGGTTCATCTTTAAAGCTCAAGATTTGCTCTCAGTTTTGGACGAGGCTCTCTGGCTGCCCGCGCCGATCCAGGGCTGTGACCCAGGGAGCTGGCAGAAGCTGCGGCAGCAACTCTGGTCACGGCTGCTGGCCCTGCCGCTCCTTGTCTGTCCCCGCCCAGCCAGCGCCCCCTCTGCACAGGTACGAGAAAGGTGCGCAGATGCCGAAACCCGTTTGGCTCAACCGCAGAGCGTCGGTCTGTGGACTGAAAGGTCCCGGGTTCGATTCCGGTCAAGGGCATGTACATTGGTTGCGGGCACATCCCCGGTAGGGGGTGTGCAAGAGGCAGCTGATCGATGTTTCTCTCTCATCGACATTTCTAGCTCTCTATCCCTCTCCCTTCCTCTCTGTAAAAAATCAATAAAATATAAAAAGAAAGAAAGGAAGGAAGGAAGGAAGGGAGGGAGGGAGGGAGGGAGGGAGGGAGGGAGGGAGGGAGGGAGGGAGGGAGGGAGGAAGGAAGGAAGGAAGGAAGGAAGGAAGGAAGGAAGGAAGGAAGGAAGAAAGAAGAAAGGTGCACAGAGAGGTGATCCTCTAAGTCTCCGCGTTCCCTCCCTGTCTTGAGAGGACTGCAACCCTTCCCTGGCCCTCAGCTTCTTCCGTGAGTTCACGCCTCATTGGGACTGCGCTCAGATCACGTGCCCACTGTGGGGCACTCTAACAGGCTCCAGGCAGAGGCTGAGTGGGTGGCAGGGCTACAGAGGTTAGGCTGTGCACGTCCCAGTCTGTTGCCTCCGAGGGGGGCCCATCACACCCTCTCCTTGCTCCCAGCCCACGGCCCAGAGACCCCCGATCCCATTACCTGGTGGTTCCATCCTTGGGGGCAGCCTGGCTCAGGGGCAGCAGCAGCAGCAGTACTAACATCCTCATCGTCAAAGGAGACATCTCTCCTGGAGCTGGAACAGGTAGCACCTGCCCTAGAAGCAGTTAGGGAGTCAGGGGGAGGGGTGTCTGCACAGAGAGGGGATTGGTGGGGAACAGCTCCTCTCCCTGCCTCCACCTCTCCTGCCTCCACCTCTCCCTGCCTCCACCTCTCTCTGCCTCCACCTCTCCCTGCCTCCACCTCTCCCTGCCTCCACCTCTCCTGCCTCCACCTCTCCTGCCTCCACCTCTCCTAACTCCACCTCTCTCTGCCTCCACCTCTCCCTGCCTCCACTTCTCCCTGCCTCCACCTCTCCTGCCTTCACCTCTCCTGCCTCCACCTCTCCTGCCTCCACCTCTCCCTGCCTCCACCTCTCCTAACTCCACCTCTCTCTGCCTCCACCTCTCCCTGCCTCCACTTCTCCCTGCCTCCACCTCTCCCTGCCTCCACCTCTCCTGCCTCCACCTCTCCCTGCCTCCACCTCTCCTGCCTCCACCTCTCTCTGCCTCCACCTCTCTCTGCCTCCACTTCTCCCTGCCTCCACCTCTCCCTGCAGCCCAGGTGACAGGACACAGGGACATCTGTGACACCACCATGACCCACCCCCATCCCCACCCCGGAACTTTGCTCAAAGTAAATCTGACTCCAGATCCAGGTGTCAAGTGCACAAAGACCAGCTCTGGAAGGGGTGCTGTGGTCGGAGCCCCTCCCACACCCAGTCCTTTTGCCCCTCGGCGTGAGGGGCTGGGAGGAGGCAGTTCCGGCACATCTCGTTCGGTTCGCTGGCTTTACAGATGAAACCAGCTCAGAGAGGTTAGGAAAAGGGCACACTGGAAACAGAGAGTCGCAAGAAGACCCACACTTAGAGAGGCGGGCTGTTAGGCTGTATGGATTAGAACCTCACCGAAGAACAAGTCAAAAGAGGCGCAGACTCCATGAAACAGGTCTAACCTCAGGGACTGAAAACAACAAACCAGAGTCAAACCAACAGTGGCCCCAGGAGCTGGTACTGACGAAGGGCCAGTGGGCAATCAGATCCCAAGATGAAGGAAAAAACAAAAGCTTCCCCCTCAGACCTGCATCGTGCAGGCCCACTGGCCACAAAGCCACGTGATTACATAACAGCCGTCAGAGAGAGGGGAGCTGAAGCTTCCTGACGGGCCCCAGGTGTGGGCGCGCAGCTGCACGCTCCCGAGGAGACCCGAGACCCGGTGCCCGCCTCCAGGTGGAGGAGCCGCCGTCCGGGCAGGGGCTGAGGGACCCTCTGGAGCGGTGCCTCGCACGCTGGCTGCCCTGAACGTTTCTGGAGAGAGGTCCATAGCGTTCAGTGCATTCTCCAAGAGCACCATGGCCCTGACAAAGCTCAGACCCACGGCAAGGGGCGGCAGAGCTTTCTAAGGCTGTGGTCAGCAAACTGCGGCTCTCGAGCCACATGCGGCTCTTTGGCCCCTGGAGTATGGCTCTTCCACAAAATACCATGGCCTGGACGAGGCTATTTTGAAGAAGTGGCGTTAGAAGAAGTTTAAGTTTAAAAAATTGGGCTCTCCAAAGAAATTTCAATTGTTGTCCTGTTGGTATTTGGCTCTGTTGATTAATGAGTTTGCCGACCGCTGTCCTAAGGGGTGCGGAGGAGCAGGCGAGCACCTGGTAATGCAGATGGGAGCCTGGCCCGGCTGCACCAGCTGAGCTGCCCGGGGAAGCACAGCTGAACGTGGAAGTCCACACGGAGACGCAGCTGCCGAGAGTCCTGGAAACTGTTCTCGGTGTTCTGTGCACCCGCTGACCCCAAAGGATATAGGGAGTCTGCACGATTGGTCCACAGTCGCCAGTGGCCCAATGGGTTCTGAAGCCGCAGCTGCCCAAAGGGGTTGGCACATGTTGGCTGGCAACATGGTCCTTGTGCTTCAGTTGCTGGACCCGGGAGAGAACCTAAGGTCTTGGGCCCATGCAAGGGAGGCAGCTGGAGCCGAGATCCCCGGAGTAACTGGGGACCCTCAGAGGTCCCACCACAGTGGACACCCCCCCGGCAGAAGAGTGGACTAGAGAACTCTCCGGGCCTCACGTCCGGGAGTCTGCTGGTAAACGTCCCGGGGAAAGTAACTCCAGAGCTGGATAAAAATAGAAAGTATCTTTTCCAATGTCATGAGTTGGCAAGAAAGTAAGAACTTCTCAGTACAGAAGCAGTAAAGCCGGTAATCTCGAGGAAAAGTCAGCTCGTAGTCAGCCTTTGCCTTAAGACCGTTGGCCAAACCCAACCCCGGGGAACCAGAGATATCAGTTGAGTGCTTTGTGCCACAGAGACCAGAGAGATAGCCTGGGCCACGCAATGGGAGAGACTAATGGGAGGTTCAAACAGCTCCACTCTCGATCCGAGGAGGAGCGAAAAGTCAGAAGAGCAGCACAGAGTCAGGCTGATGTTGAACTTGGTGCTGAGAAGGAAGGAGGAAAATGTCCTCCTTGAGAATGTGCAATAAGCCTGCTCCAAGGCGGGTTTGAGGCCAAGCAATGAGGCCTCTGTGGCTCAAAAACGGAAGCAGGCCGTTTATTGTGAAGTGGTACCTGGTTGACAGTGCGCCCAGCTGACTGGCAGAAGAAATGTCCACCTTGTCTGAAGGAACACAACTCCAATCCAGGGCTCAGGGAAGCTCCATAGCTAAACGTTCCAGGAGCGTGAACTCACAGTCAAAAGTCATAAACAGACAAGGAAATAAGACCCTGTGAATAAGAGCCAGGTAAACAATAGCAGGAAACTAGTTGTGAAACTAAAGATATTACAATTCTCACACATATTATCGATATAATATTTAATACATTTAAAGAAATTAAAGAGAAGCTTTCAACTATGAGGAAGGAATAAGAACATAAAAAAATGACCAAGTAGATGTGAAGATGAACCCAATATATGCAAATATAAAGAAAAAATTGATTAAAAAAATACAATGAGCCCTGACCGGTTTGGCTCAGTGGATAGAGCATTGGCCTGCAGACTGAAGGGTCCCAGGTTTGATTCCAGTCAAGGGCATGTACCTTGGTTGCAGGCACATACCCAGTAGGGAGTGTGCAAGAGGCAGCTGATCGATGTTTCTCTCTCTCATCGATGTTTCTAACTCTCTATCCCTCTCTCTTCCTCTCTGTAAAAAATGTCAATAAAATATATTTAAAAACAAACGATGAAAAAAATACAATGAGTGAGTTACACGGATTAGACAGAGGTGATGGGAGAATTAATGACATGCAGATTTGCACCTGGGAGCCCTCAGCCACCATGGCAGAGGTCTGGCGGCCCTGAAGCCACCATGCTGAAAAGGCCAAGAGGAGGAGACATAGAGATGCCTGAGGAGCCCTAGACCTTCGCCTCCAGCTGCTCACACCTTCCCAGCCCGGGGACCACACAGGTGATTCCAATCCCCGGCCTTCAAGCTGCCTCAGCCAACACAGGATGGAGCAGAAAAGTACTTGTGTCTATGCCCTGCCCAGACTGCAAATGCTCTTGTGCTCAGCCACTAAGGCTTGAGGTAATCTGTTTGACACAGTAATTAAAAATAAATTAAAAAAAAATATATATATATAATATATATATATATATCCGAAATATATTTTGACATTTCTAGCTCTCTATCCCTCTCCCTTCCTCTCTGTAAAAAAAATCAATAATATTTTAAATATATTTTATTGATTTTTTTTTTTTTTTTACAGAGAGGAAAGGAGAGGGAGAGAGAGCCAGAAACATCGATGAGAGAGAATCTTCGATCAGCTGCCTCCTGCACACCCCCCTCTGGAGATGCGCTTGCAACCAAGGCACATGCCCCCGAGCGGAATCAAACCTGGGACCACTCAGTCCGCAGGCTGATGCTCCATCCACTGAGCCAAACCGGTTAGGGCTGTCACAGTAATTTTTTTTTAAGATGTTTTTATTGATTTCAGAGAGGAAGGGAGGGAGAATCGGAAATATTAATGATGAGAAGGAATCCTTGATCGGCTGCCTCCCGCACGCCCCCTACTGGAGATTGAGCCCAAAACCCAGGCATGTGCCCTTGACTGGAATGGAACCTGGGACCCTTCAGTCCACAGGCCCATGCTCTATCCACTGAGCCAAACCAGCTAGGGCTGTCACAGTAATTTTTCTTTTAATCCTCACCTGAGGATATTTTTTCCATTGACTTTTAGAGAGAGAAGGAGGGAAGGAGGAGGGAGAGAGAGAAACATCAATGTGAGAGAGACACATTGATTGGTTGCCTCCCACATGACCAGAGCAGGGATGAACCTGCAACAGAGGTACAGAGGTACGTGCCCTTGAACAAAAATTGAACCCAAGACACTTCGGTCTGTGGGTGGATGTTCTAACCACTGAGAAAACCAGCCAGGGCATCACAGTAATTAGAACTGGTTTCATGAGTGTGTGGCCTGCTCTAGGAAGGGCCCTGTGCTTAGCCTAATGCTCTGCTCTCATCGTCTTGAATTCTTAATCTTATTTTTGCCCTGAAAAGTATGTTCTTGGTCCTGAACCCTGCCCACATGAATTGCTATCACTCTCCTCTTCGTTCTATGTATCTGTCACATTTATGCAGTTATTCAGTATGTGCAACTGACAGAGAACCAGCCAGACTTAGGTTCAAATCCCAGGCTCACCGCACTGTCCCTATGACCTTGGGGAAGTTAATTATCCTCACTAAACTTTAGCTATCTTATCTGCATAATGCAGAGAGTACTTACATCACAGGGTTAGAGCGCATGTTCATTGGGTAATGAATTACTTCTTGCACAACTTAATGAGTAGACTCTCATTCTTGTCCCTGCCTGTGCTATCGTCTCCATTTGTTTGTTTTGTTTTTATTCTTTTCTTCTATCTTCTCTATTTAAAGACCCCTCCATACTTATATCAGATTAATCTTCCTTTGCTGGAACTCCACTGCTCCGAAACCTTCAACGGCTCCCTATTTCTATTACAATCCAGAGTCCTCACCTGGGCATTCAAGACCTTCTACAATCAAATATCAAGTTGTCACGTTAGACTCACCTTCCA